GTTTTATATCATATACATACAATTTTAGCGCAATGAAGAGCACTGTTTTCTATAATATAAGCATAAATATAAATATGTTTGTATATATTATAGGAATGAATTTCTTCCGGCGTGTATAGTTGCTTCCGCCATTTTCGCACATAATTTATGCAGTTATGCAGGTGGTTAACTATTCCGTCTAGATCTGAACAAACAAACCAAAACATCTTGAAAAATATTGTGAATATAAACAGAATAACACGTGGTCACTTCTTTTAGTCACTGTATATGTACATGTTTCCTTTTTGGACGTTGCAAATACCTTGAAAAAATAAAGTCAATCAAATATTGTCAAATTTTCTTGATGATGACTTCAGACTGAAGTCGATATATCGGCAAATAAAAACGAATGCAAAATCAAAAATTGTGTTTTGATTTTCATGTGGCCTTGAGCTCGAAAAATATACAATATTGTTTGAAAAAATAAAAATATACGAATGCGCGCGTATCGTCGTTCTGCACAATTGCGTAACTGACATTTTTTGCAAAAATTGGATTTGCTCACACAGGCTCCTGAAATATACTAGCCTGAAAAGATATTGCTTTATAAAAGAGAGGATCATTTTGAAATATGAGTGTTTTTACTCTCCAGAAAATAATTTACGCAACTTAACATACGCGGTTTTGCTTTTTGTTGATACGCGGTTTTGCACTTTAAACGACGATATGTGTAAACGCCAATCTATTAACATTAGTTATTATTACTACGGTCACCGATTTTGGCAGGGCAGTACCGATTTTGAAAAACTTGTCCCGATGTATATTTTTTAAAAGTCGGGACTTCCATATTCGCGATTTTCCATACTGGTACCGATTCAGTTCCGATTTTCAGTCATTTATTAAGACTCTCTTTACTCTGGCCCAGAAATAATTTTTCGTTATCGCAAAGGACATAGAATATAAGGGAGCTATAAATATAGCCAGCATCCTCATATATAATATAATAATATAATTAATGAAATTATAAAAAGTAATACTAATGCCCTCAAAAAAATCGTGGATATGAAAAACAAAGACTGCAGGTAGAGTGGCGAAAATATAAATAGGGAAGAGACACTTTAGCTTTCGATTATTTAATGTTTATTACATTTTATGAAACTGTGGCCCACTATCTTACAAAGATCATGAAGTCAAAATTTCAAACGGTGCACAGTGGTCGGAGAAGACATGTTTTACGTGAAAAATTGGAAGGGATGTTCTTCTTCTTCTTTATTGGCACTGAAACCCCCTAAGCGATTTTGGCCGAGTCCAAAACAGCACGCCAGTCCTTTCTCTTCTGTGCCAACTGACGCAAATTGGAAATGCCAAGTGAAGCCAAGTCCATCTCCACCTGGTCTTTCCAACGCAGAGGAGGCCTTCCTCTTCCTCTGTTACCAGCACCGCGGCCCGCGTTGAATACTTTCAGAGCAGGAGCGTTTCTGTCCATTCGAACGACATGGTCAAGGCAGCGGAGCCGCTGAATTTTAATTCGCTGCACTATGTCTATATCGTTGTAAAGCTCATACAGCTCATCGTTAAATCGTCTGTGGTATTCGCCATCGCAAACGCGTAAAGGTCCGTAAATCTTTCGCAGAATCTTTCTCTTGAAAACTCCAAGAGCCACTTCATCAGATGTTTTCATTGTCCATACCTCCGCGCCATACACCTGCACAGGTATGATGAGTGACTTATAGAGTGTGATCTTTGTACGACGAGAGAGGACTTTGCTTCTAAATTGCCTACTCAGTCCAAAGTAGCACTTGTTGCCAAGAGCGATTCTCCGTTACATTTCAAGGCTGACATTATTATTGTGTTAATGCTGGTTCCCAAATAAGCGAAGTCGTCTACTTTCTTAAATTTGTAACTGCCAACAGTTACGTGTGTGCCAAGACGCGTATGCTCGGGCTGTTTGTGTGATGACAGGAGATAATTCGTTTTGTCCTCGTTCACCACCAGACCAGACCATTCGCTTTACTTCTCTATCCAATCCCGAGAAGGCAGAACAGACGCAGCCCTCGTTTTTACCGATAAAATCGATGTCGTCGGTATACGCCTGCAATTGTACGCTCTTGTAAAGTATTGTGCCAGAGCGGTTCAGTTCTGCAACTCTTATTATCTTCTCCAACATTACATAAAATAAATAACACGAAAGGGAGCCACTTTGTCTGGAACCTCGATTGGTATCAAACGGCTCGGAGAGGTCCTTCCCAATTCTGGCAGAGCTGATGGTATTGCTCCACGTCATTTTACACAGCCGTATTAGTTTCGCGGGGATACCAAATTCTGGCAAATTTTTTTTTAGTTTTACTGTTATTTCAACATATTTGGATTAAAAGAAAAATACTGATAAAAATAAAAATAAAATTTCATAAGAACAGGGTTGAAATCTTGAAATACCTGCCCGTATTTTGTTTGTAAGTCAAATATGAGTGGCATTGTGCTACTGTGATAGCACGGCCGAGTAATCATAGCCAACTTATGTACAGTAGTCGAAAAAATTATAGCCACACCAAATTTTGACAAGTTTTAAAATATTATTTTTGTTGTTATTTAATTTCGGTTAGTTTTTTATAGTTCGTTCTTTACCAACATCAGTAGTTTAAAGGCAGTGTCACACGATTGGGTATTTGCCAAAATTTGGTGTAAATCGTATCCCAATTGTTTGAACACCCAAAATATTTTTCACTATCCCAATCACGAAAATTAATTTA